ATTATAATTCTATTTCCTATATTACAAGAGAATAATTCTATTTCCTATTTTACATCAACACTCCCTCTCAAGCTGGACATATAAGTCATATGCACCAAGCTTGTTACAAATAAAGTCAACACGAAACCTTTGAGAGACTTAGTGAGGATGTTTGCTAACTGGTCTTTGGAATTGACATAACTAGTTGCATACACCTGATAGAACTTTCTCTCAAACAAGTGACAATCAATTTCTATGTGTTTAGTCATATAATTCTATTCCTATATACAAGAGAATAATTCATTTCTATTTACATTTCAACACTCCCTCTCAAGCTGGAGCATATAAGTCATATGCACCAAGCTTGTTACAAATAAGTCAACAGGAACCTTTGAGAGACTTGTGAGGATGTTTGCTAACTGTTCGTTGGAATTGACATAACTAGTTGCATACCCTGATAGAACTTTCTCTCGAACAAAGTGACAATCAATTTCTATGTTTTAGTCCTCTCTGAAACACTGGATTTGAAACAATATGAAGGGTAACCTGATTATCACAGAGTAACTTCATTTGTTACTCTTCACAAATCTCAACTCTTGAATTAGTTGTTTTACCAAACCACTCACAAGTGGCTAAGGCATTGCCCAATACCTGCTTCAGCACTTGACCTTGAACACAACTGCTTGTTTTCTTACTTTCCATGACTAGGTTTCCCCAACAAGAGCACAAAATCCTGAGGTAGAACTCTATCAGATGGAGAACCTGCCCAATCAGCATCTGAATATCCGACAATATCGAATGGCCCTTATTTCATACAGTAAGCCTCTACCTGGTGCTCCCTTGATAACCTCAAAATCCGGACAACTGCATCCCAATGACTATCACACGATTTGAAGGAACTGACTCACACACTGACAGAAAAGAATATCCGGTCGTGTATAGTAATAGTTAAGTTTTCCAACAAGTCTTCAATACCTTTCAAGATCAGTAAAAGGCTCCCCCTGTCCAGGTGAAAGTTTTAAATTAGGATCCATAGGAGAGTCTATTGGTCTGCAATCTGACATCCCTGTTTCCTCTAAATATCCAGTACATACTTCCTCTGAGAAATACAATACCAATTTAGACTGAGCAACTTCTATGCCAAGAAAGTATCTGAGTAGCCCTAGTCTTTCGTCTGAAGTGTTTGAACAAGTGTTGCTTCAACTGTTCAATGCCACTGATCACTTCCTGTAATAAAATTCATCGACATAGACAACCAGATAGATACACTGCCCTATGATGTATGTCTATAGAAAATAGAGTGACAACTCACACGAATCATACCAAACTCTTGGATAACTGTGCTAATCGTCCAACCAAGCACAGGAGACGTTTTAGACCATATAGAGAAGACGAAGTTACATACCAAACCAGACTCCCCCTGGCAACAAAACCAGGAGGTTGCTCCTATAAATATCTTCCTGAAGTTCACCATTAAGAAACATTATTAATATCCAATTGTGCTAGCCAGTTTCGAATGGCCCCATAGCAAAGAACAACCGAACGGAAGACATCTTAGCAACAGGAGAAAAAGTGTCAAACTAATCTATCCCATAGATCTGAGTGTATCCCTTGGCCCCAACGGCTTTCAGCCGATCAACCTTACCATCTGACCAACCTTAACAGTGTAAATCCATCGACAACCAACAGTCGAATGACCCGAGGTAAGGAAAACTAACTCCAAGTATGATTAGATGCAAGCAGACATTTTCTCAACCATTGCCTGACGCCACCCGAGGTGAAAGTACCTCATGAACATTGCAAGGACACGAAACAGATAGAAGGTGGAGACAAAGGCTAAATGAAGATAAACGATGATAACTCAAAAAATTGTAGATGGGATGAGGGTTGCTGTAGAACCGCATACCCTTTACGAATACAATGGGAAACTGATCAGCTGGAGACGGACCTGGCATTGGAGGAATCGGCACAGGACGCATAACAGGATCTCAGGAATGGCAGCGGAACATCAGGATCACCTGTAAAAGGAACAAGACTATTGTCCAGGAAAGTGGTATTAGTAGTAGACTGAGGTATCGAAACAGAAGAATGTGGGAAAGCAACGTATGAATTGGTAGAAACTCCACTACCGTATCAGACTCCACTGGAGGATAGGAAAAAATGAGAAAACTCAAAGAACGTAACATCAGCAAGATGAAGTAGCGATGTGTGGCGGGAGAATAACACTTGTAGCCCTTCTGAAGACGTGAATACCCTAAGAAAATACATTTCGATCTGGCTGACAGTTTATCCTGACCAAGAGGGAAAATGTGAACAACAGGTCTCCAAAGACACGCGGGAAGAGAAAATAATGGAGTATCAGGGAATTATGGATGGGCAACCTGGTCTTGTAAGACAGAAGAAGTATACGGTTATTAAGTAACAGCGGTTAGAACCGCGTCAGCCCAAAACCGAAAGGGACGTGGCTATGTAAAAGAAGAGTGCGAGCAGTTTCAATGAGATGTCTATTTTTACACTCAGCAATGCCATTTTGTGGGACACTAAGCACAAGAAGACTGATGAAGAATTCCCTGAGATGTCATGAATTTAGTAAAGGAATCAGAGAAATTTCACAAGCATTATCACTTCGTAATATACGAATGGTAGTATTGTGTTGAGTCTTAATTTCAGCACAAAATGATAAAATATGGAAAATAATTCAGAACGAGAGCGCATAAGAAATAACCAAGTGCACGGGAATAGTCATCAATAATGTAACAAAATATTGATCCTAAATAGAGTTAACACGACAAGGACCCCACCCATCTGAATGCACTAACTCAAGGGGACGCAACTCGTTTATTGACACGCTTTGGAAAGAACTACAGTATGCTTCCAAGCTGACCACGACTCACAACTCAAGGATGATAATGTAGATAGACCTGGATCATTTTCGAAGTTTGGAAAGAACAGTGCCCAGATTTATGAAGGATCTGAGACTCGGAGACAATGCATGCTATAGATGGGATATGGAGATATAGACCCTGTGACTCACGTCCTGTGCCAATCATCTGTCCCGTGTCGCGATCCTGTATAACAACAGAGTCAGATCAAAGAATAGAGCATTAAGGAGCGGGTAAGTCTAACAGACAAGAGATTAATGGACATTTGGGAATATAAGCACAGAGTCTAATGCTAAGGGAGGGAGGGTTTTGCACATCCAATAGCTTGAACATCGGCTTTAGACCATTGGCTAAAGTAACAGGAGGTAAAGATACATTATTTGTAATCTGAGTAAGTAAACGAGGGTTACCAGAATATGATCTGAGGCACCTGAATCTAGGACCCAAGGTCTTAAAGCAGAAGATTGAGAAAGGCAAGCAACTGAATACCCGTTTGAGCGACGAGGCAATAGAGAAGACTGCTTACTGGCCGAATTGTAAGTATTCTCATAATCAGTACTGTGAGAGTTAAGGAGGGTGAGCTGGCACTGTAGAGGACTCAGATGAAGATCAGAGTGATCAGCCTAGCATATTAGCAGCTCGGGTAGGTCGACCGTGTAACTTAAACATTTCTCTCTGGTATGCCCCCACCGATACAGTAACTACACTTGGGCCGATTTCCTCTGCCACTTCGATCGCCTGTTCTCGAAAAGAGTGGGACTGAGAAACAAGACTGAAAGAGTCACTTGGGAATGCACAGTATAGGGGAGGAAACCCGAAAATATCTGGCAAACATTCATCAAGGGAAGGCACGGTGGATCCAGAAAGAATTTGATCTTGAACAAGTGTAAGATATGGACCGCGAACAGGTAGATTTGGACCGAGAGCTACAAGTGTCAGGATCATAAAGAACTTGTCCCGTTCAGCCAAATCTTCTGCGCAGATTACCAGCATAACAGCAGATTAAATTCTGTCTTAAGGGAGGCCATTACAAGGAAGTCCGACATATTCATATTCTGTTGTTTAGAGGAACTAAGTTGGACACAAGAATATAAACGCTGAGTGTATTTGTATAGAGAAGTTTAGCCTGACTCCAAATATTAACGCAAGAGCGATAAGATTTGTAAATAGGGTGAGAGGGGGATCAATAGTGGCCATAACATACTACACACAGCATAGCATCAATTTTAGTCCAGGAAGACTTATCTGACGTATATCGGCAGCTGTTGGTGGTCAAGTGATCCTCCAACCTTGACCCATACACCATAATTCAACAGAGGCAGCCCTGATGAATAATTGGCAGTCCAATTAATCGCTCAGTGGTTGAGGGAGGGAGAGATAAAAAAGAAAAACCACTTGTATGTGACTGAGAGGCTGATTTGAGGAATCCATGAGAAGGTCAAAGTGTCTGAAGCTAACGAAAGCAAAAACTTAGTGCACCGGAAAAACAGAATACTAGCCAGAAAAAGAACCTTGCCAAAAAACGAGCGCACGTGAGGGCGCGTGCACGGCGGCCGCGACGAAATCACTCGGGTTATGACGACGATGGGAAGCGTCAGTCTGGTGTGATTAGATACCAGTTCTGACGTTGCCGCGATAACAGTTGTCGGAAAAAATTCCGAGAAAGAGACGAAGAGAAAAAAAAATTTGAAATTTCAGACACTTGGCTCTGATACCATGTGGAGAAATTTTTCTTGTGTATTCATAATGAATGTACAATGATTTTATGCAAAAAACAAAAACTAATCTGAAGTAAATGTTACATGTTCCTATATATTCTTTCCTATTCCTATTATAATTCTTTCCTATATTACAAAGAGAATAATTCTATTTCCTATTTTACTTTCACATAAAATAGACCTGATAGAAGTAATAATGACACAAAGGTATCAATCAACCTCAAACAAGAATAAATTGATGCTGGGGCAAAAACAGCTTCACACAATTTAGCCATTCGAAAAAACACTAAATAGATATTCAAAAAACACATATAAGTGGCAAGCTTACGATTCATTAGCAGCTGGCCCACTGGAACAATTTCAGACAGGATCCTGAGCACTCCACCAGATTAAGCATACCGTCTTCGCTTGCATTATAATTCCGATCCCACAAGAGCAATTACAAAATAGGAAACTTTTGTAAATGCAGCCTGTGAGAAGTGACAGCTCACATGGTTTGGTCAATCAAACCCCTTAAATTATAAGAGTGCATCATATATCTACAAATGAATAGAAAATTAAGTTATAAGAGTGCATCATATATCTACTTATCTAGAAATGAATAGAAAATTACTACCCTCTGCCTGGCCAACGTGTCCCAGTTGATATCTTTGAAGAAGATATGCTGCTTCACCTGTATGATAAGATTTCTCTTCCATTATTTCAGTTTCTAAGAAAAGTAGCAAAGATGAATTACAAGATAATGAACAAAGAAGCACAAAAACTTTAACTAAGAACCGCAATCACCTCTGATGCTCCTCCAGCTCCAAGTCTCTGATGTGGATCTTTGGTCAATAATCTGTAAAATTGACACATAAATAACCATAAGATACTTCAGAAAGCTTTATCACATTCATAGAACCAGCAGTCTATCTTAGCCATGTAAGCATTACACCCAAACATTAACTCTTATTCAAAGAGAAGGCACGTTGTACAAAGTTAGCAGAAGTAATAAAACGAATTTGAGACATAGCATGTTATAGGCAAGAAATCATCAATCTTAAAAATTCCCTAATATACATTTTCATGAGCCGACATTTTTAACAGTCAATTGCATACTAACACACGATTTAACTGAGAAATTTCTATTAAGAAGAAAGAAGACTCTCATGTTTTCCAATGTTAGCCTCCATAGAATCTTTATTAGATAAATTAATGAACAAAAAAAAAAAAAAATAGGAGAGATATAGGCAAATAATAGGCCACTAAGCACAAAAGGTGCACAACCCAATATCATACAAAGGAATTAATAAAAACTTCGAAACAAGAGTTGATTATCAAACTTAGGCAGGTCACTTTGAAATTTCAATTTAGCATCAACTAATGAACAAAATACTATCTGATAAATTTTCAATGATTGAGTTTTTCTGGACAAGGGCCACATTAAGGTCATTCATATCTAATATAATTATAAACAATAATTGATCAGATGATACAGCAGTCCTTATTACACATATGATACCCTGATGGTATGTATTTCAACACAAATGTCTGAAAGCAATACTTAGTAACCAATGATTTTCTTACTGATCAATAAGATCTTGTGCTTCAGCGCTCATTTCATTGGGTACGGTAGGCCAGGGTATTTTACGGTTCGGAATATTATCAAATATTTGCTGGAATCAAAACACATCTATTATAAATTCCTATTTCCTATATTACAAGAGAATAATTCATTTCCTATTTAACATTTCAACACTCCCTCTCAAGCTGAGCATATAGTCATATGCACCACTTGTTACAAAAAAGTCAACACGAGAACCTTTGAGAGACTTAGTGAGGATGTTTGCTAACTGGTCTTGGAATTGACATAACTAGTTGCAATACACCCTGATAGAACTTTCTCTCAACAGTGACAATCAATTTCTATGTGTTTAGTCATATAATCTTTCCTAATACAAGAAGAATATCATTTCTATTTACATTTCAACACTCCCTCTCAAGCTGGAGCATATAAGTCATATGCACCAAGCTGTTACAAATAAAGTCAACAGGAGAACCTTTGAGAGACTTAGTGAGGTGTTTGCTAACTGTTCGTGGAATTGACATAACTAGTTGCAATACACCCTGATAACTTTCTCTCGACCAAAGTGACAATCAATTTCTATTGTTTAGTCCTCTCATGAAACACTGGATTTGAAACAATATGAAGGGTAACCGATTATCACAGAGTAACTTCATTTGGATACTTCGACAAATCTCAACTCTCTGAATAGTTGTTTTAACCAAACCAGCTCACAAGTGGCTAAGCCATTGCACAATACTCTTCTTCAGCACTTGACCTTGCAACAACTGCTTGTTTCTTACTTTCCATAAACTAGGTTTCCTCCAACAAGAGCACAAAATCCTGAGGTAGAACGTCTACAGATGGAGAACCTGCCCAATCAGCATCTGAATATCCGACAATATGCGAATGGCCCTTATTTTCATACAGTAAGCCTCTACCTGGTGCTCCTTGATATACCTCAAAATCCGGACAACTGCATCCAATGACTACACACGATTTGAAGGAACTGACTCACACACCTGACGAAAAAGAAATATCCTGCGTGTGATAGTAATAGTTAAGTTTTCCACACAGTCTTCAATACCTTTCAAGATCAGTAAAGGCTCCCCTGTCCAGGTGAAAGTTTTAAATTAGGATCCAGAGGAGAGTCTATTGGTCTGCAATCTGACATCCCTGTTTCCTCTAGAATATCCGTACATACTTCCTCTGAGAAATACAATACCAATTTTAGACTGAGCACTTCTATGCCAAGAAAGTATCTGAGTAGCCCTAAGTCTTTCGTCTGAAAGTGTTTGAACAAGTGTTGCTTCAACTGTTCATGCCATCTTGATCACTTCCTGTAATAACAATATCATCGACATAACAACCAATAGAATCCTGCCCTGATGATGTATGTCTATAGAAAATAGAGTGATCAGACTCACATCGAATCATACCAAACTCTGGATACTGTGCTAAATCGTCCAACCCAGCACCGAGGAGACTGTTTTAGACCATATAGAGAACGACGAGTTTACATACCAACACGACTCCCCCTGAGCAACAAAACCAGAGGTTGCTCCATATAAATATCTCCTGAAGTTCACCATTAGAAAAGCTATAATATCCAATTGATGCATAGGCCAGTTCGAATGGCAGCCATAGCAAAGAACACCGAACGGAAGACATCTTAGCAACAGGAGAAAAGTGTCAAAAAATCTATCCCATAGATCTGTGTATCCCTTGGCCACCAAACGCTTTCACCGATCAACCTTACCATCTGGACCAACCTTAACAGTGTAAATCCATCGACAACCAACAGTCGAATGACCCGGAGGTAAGGAAACTAACTCCAGTATGATTATGATGCAAAGCAGACATTTCTTCACCATTGCCTGACGCCACCCGAGGTGAGAAAGTACCTCATGAACATTGCAAGGAACAGAAACAGATGAGAAGGTGGAGACAAGGCATAATATGAAGATATAACGATGATAACTCAAAAATTGTAGATGGGATGAGGTTGCGTGTAGACCGCATACCTTTACGAATAGCAATGGGAAACTGATCAGCTGGAGACAGGACCATGGCATTGGAGGAATCGGGCACAGGACCTCATATAAGGGATCTCAGGAATGGCACGGGAACATCAGGATCACCTGTAAAAGGAACAGACTATTGTCGACAGGAAGAGTGTATTAGTAGTAGACTGAGGTATCGAACAGAGAATGGGGGGAAAGCACGTATGGAATTGGTAGAAACACCCCACTACCGTATCAGACTCCTGAGGATGAGGAAAAAATGAAAAACTCAAAGAACGTAACATCAGCAGAGATAAGTAGCGATGTGTGGCGGGAGAATAACACTTGTAGCCCTTCTGAAGACGTGAATACCCTAAGAAAAACATTTCGTAGACTTGGCTGACAGTTTATCCTGACCAGAGGGAAATGTGAACAAAACAGTGCTCCCAAAGACACGCGGGGGAAGAGAAAATAATGGAGTATCAGGGAATAATATGGATGGCAACCTGTCTTGTAAGACAAAGAAGGTTAACGTTTTTATTACACGGTTAGAACCCGTCAGCCCAAAACCGGAAAGGGACGTGGCTATGTAAAAGAAGAGTGCGAGCAGTTTCAATGAGATTCTATTTGTTATTCACCTCAGCAATGCCATTTTCTGTTGGGACCATAAGCACAAGACAGACTGATGAAGAATTCCCTGAGATTCATGAATTTAGTAAAGGAATCAGAGAATATTCACAAGCTATCATGTCACTTCGAATATACGAATGGTAGTATTGTGTTGAGTCTTAATTTCAGCACAAAATGATAAAAATATGGAAAATAATCAGAACGAAGCGCATAAGAAATAACCAAGTGCCACGGGAAATATCACAATAAATGTAACAAATAATTTGAATCCTAAAGTAGAGTTAACACGACAAGGACCCCCCCTCTGAATGCACTAACTCAAAGGGACGCAACTCGTTTTGTGACACGCTTTGGAAAAAACTACGAGTATGCTTTCCAAGCTGACACGACTCACAACTCAAGGATATAATGTAGATAGACCTGGGATCATTTTCGAAGTTTGGAGACTAGGATGGCACAAACGATTATGAAGAATCTGGAGACTCGGAGACAATGCATGCTATAGATGGGATATGGAGATGATAGAGACCCTGTGACTCACGTCCTGTCCAATCATCTGTCCCGTGTCGCGATCCTGTAACAACGAGTCAGTATCAAAACGAATAGACAATTAAGAGCGGGTAAGTTTACTAACAGAGAAGAGATTAAATGGACATTTGGATATAAAGCACAGAGTCAATGCTAAGGAGGGAGGGGTTTTGCACATCAATACTTGAACATCGCTTTAGACCCTTGCTAAAGTAACAGGAGGTAAAGATACATTATTGTAATTGAGTAAGTAAACGAGGGTTACCAGAAATATGATCTGAGGCACCTGAATCTAGGACCCAAGTCTTAAAGCAGAAGATTGAAAGCAAGCAACTGAATTACCCGTTTGAGCGACGGAGGCATAGATGAAGAGACTGCTTACTGGCCTGATATGTAATATTCATCATAATCAGTACCTGTGAGAGTTAAGGAGGGCTTGAGCTGGCACTGTAGAGGACTCAGAATGAGATCAGAGGATCAGCCTGAGCAATATAGCCTTAGCACCGGTAGGTCGACCGTGTAACTAAAAACATTTCTCCTGTATGGCCCCCACCGATGACAGTAACTACACGGGCCGATTTCCTCTGCCACTTCGATCGCCCTGTTCTCGAAAAGAGTGGGACTGAGAAACAAGGCGAAGAGTCACTTGGGGAATGCACAGTATAGGGGAGGAAACCCGAAAATATCTGGCAAACACTCATCAAGGAAGGCACGGTTATCCAGAAAGAATTTGATCTTGAACAATGTGTAAGATATGGACCGAGAACAGGGGTAAATTTGACCAGACTACAAGTGTCAGGATCATAAGAACTTGTCCCGTTCACCAAATCTTTCTGCCGCAGATTCCAGCAGGTAACAGCAGATTAAATTCTGTCTTAGGAGGGCCATTACCAAGGAAGTCCGACATATTCATATTCTGTTGTTTAAGATGAACTAAGTTGACACAACAGAATATAAACGCTGAGTGTCATTTGTATAGAGAGTTTAGCCTGACTCCAAATATTAACGCAAGAGCGATAAGATTTGTAATAGGGTGAGGGGGATCAATAGTTTGCCATACATACACAACAGCATAGCATCAATTTTAGTCAGGAAGACTTATCTGACGTAATATCGGCAGCTTTGGTGGTCAAGTGTCCTCCAAACCTTGACCTACACCATAATTCAACAGAGGCACGCCCATGATGAATAATTAGCAGTCCAATTATCGCTCAGTGGTGATGGGAGGAGATAAAAAGAGAAAAACCACTTGGTATGACGGGAGGCTGATTTGAGGAATCCATGAGAAGGTCAAAGTGTCTTGAAGCTACATAAACGCAAAAACTTACGTGCACCGGAAAACAGAATACTAGCCAGAAAAACAGAACACTTGCCAGAAAAACGCGCACTGAGGGCGCGTGCAGCGGCGCCGCGACGAAATCACTCGGTTATGACGACGAGGGAAGACAGATCAGCTGGTGTGATTAGACCAGATTCTGATCGTTGCCGGAGAACAGTTGTCGGAAACAATTCCGAAGAAGAAAGAAGAAAAAAAATTTGAAATTTCAGACACTTGCTCTGATACCAGTGAGAAATTTTCTTGTGTATTCATAATGAAATACAGAGATTTATAGCAAAAAAAAAAAACTAATCTAGGAAGTAAATTGTTCATTTCCTATTATATTACTATTTCCTATCTTCTATTATAATTCATTTCCTATATTACAAAGAGAATAATTCTATTTCCTATTTTACATTTCAACAAATAAATAGACTGATAAGGATAATAATGACACAAGAGGTATCAATCAACCCAAACAAAATAAATTGATTGCTGGCAAAAACAAGCTGTCACACAATTTAGCCATTCGAAAAAAAACTAAATAGATATTCAAAACTAACAATTATAAGTGGCAAAGCTACAATTCATTAGACTGGCCACACTGGAAACAATTTCAGACAGGAATTCCTGAGCAGCCTCCACCAGATTGAAAATCATAACCCGTCCTTTCCGGCATTCAGAATTGGCGATACACACATTTCTTGACAGTTTTTCACCCAGAAATGGTGGTAACCGTTATTGAACTGTCAAGAATTTCTTAACAGATTCTTGATAGTTATAACTCGTCAAAGATTTAACCAATTCTTAACAGTCTTCTAATTGTCCAAAGTTTTTAACAAAAAAATAATAATGATAAATTAAATTGAATAATAATAATAATAATAATAATTTTATTAATAATAATTTTCCATCTTTGATAACTTGAAACTGTCAAGGAGTTTTTTTAAATATTTTTATTTTGTAATTAGTTTATTTACCTAATTATTACCCATTAAATAATGGAATAATGGAATGAAAATTCTTCGTAATATTCATCAACCAACAACGACTATCACAATTCAACAATAAAATTAAACATTCAACAATCTTTCAATTAATTTAGTAAACGAAATTGAACAATAGTATATGTACAGGAATAAAGCTTCATTCATTTTATAATTTTATTTGTAATCATTCTTCAGAAGCTAGATATGCATTAAAACAGCTACTTCTTTAGTTGGAAATTTTTTAAAGAAATACAACCCGGGAAACTGGAGGATTATCATCAATAAATGGGGCTGCAAGACTAATAAATGAAGCCTCCCCTACACCAACTAGCCTGGAGAGACAACAATGATATAATACTAGTTAATTTGTTGAATTAAATAAATCAATAATAAAATTGAAGGAAGATAAGGGCATAAGTCACCAACTTACATGCAGCAGATTGTAATTAGGACTGTGCAAAACCGGAAACTCGCTCAGGTTTTAACCAAAAATCGGGTACCCGAATATTCGGGTACCGGCTAACCGATCCGGTTTTGCGGATACCCGAATTTGATTTAGACTTTAGTGGAGAGTGAAGACTGCAAATGCAGACGGGAGAATTTGAGAGAGAGAGATGAGTGCGGCTGTTGAGAGTGACAGAGATGAGTGTGGTTGTGTGGTGCAGATGCAGACTGAGATTGGAGAATTTGAGAGTGAGAGAGATGAGTATTGAGTGCGACTGTGCAGTGCAGATGTAGACTGAGACTAGAGAAGGCGAGAATCTGAATTTGAGAGCGAGAGAGATGAGTTTGAGTGCGGCTGTGCGCTTGTGTGCAGGTCCTGCAGGACTTGAGTACTTGAAGTTAACGCAATGACGAGTTTTAGTTTTAGGGCATAAGGGATTTCAGACTTGTTTCAGATTTGAGACTTTTGCCTTTTGCCTTTGAAAATTGAAAGTCTGCGCGACTGCATGTTGTTTTTTTTTTTTTTTTTAATAAAACCGGATATTGGGTACCCGGTTTTCTAAAATTAAATAACTAATACCCGAACCAAAAATTCGAGTATCTTATGAAAATTACCCGAAAATTCAAGTTCAGTTCGGTTACCGGTTTTTTTTGCACAGCCCTAATTGTAATGGACCAGAAATCCCTTGAAAAACCACAACCTACTGCAGCTACGGTCTAAACTGACAATCCAACTCCAATAAGCCAAAATGGATTAAGACTGCAAAAATTCACAAGTATATTAGGACTCATGCCAAAGTAAATGCACTATATTGAATCAGAAATCAAGTTCTGGAGAATAGTACAAAAGCAAGGGACAAGGGCCAAGCTATTCTTTTATTTCAATCCTGCTCTGTTAATATGGCAAAAACATAGTTCCTAAAAATAGATATTTTCTTAATGACTATGGCAAAGCCCAGAGAAGCACTTTAACTTTAGAACTCATAAAAAGCTACTAAACTTATCCACAGATAGGCACTTCTGAAATATATAATACCTCTAAATGCATAAAAAGTAGAATCTGGAAACAGATGAATGGGATTTTCATATTACTGTCAAAGTATATACATAATCATTCCAACACTCATATAGACACAAAAAGATAACTTCAATCATCAAACATTGCTATAAAGACCACTAAATTTTGCCCAAAATTTATAAACAAATCCCACCAACCTAGGGCAGCAACATCACCTGCACGTGGTTAATGAAAAAAGTTAGGGAGAGAAAGATAATTCACCGTAAGGATAAGCTTCACATAAGTCAACCAGTAGTCCAGTACCAAATTATATCGTGAAAAAAATATGTTAGCCAAATAAATACATGCACTTAAAAAGAGTTACTAAGATAAAATTTAAAGAACAAGATGTTAATGCGAATAGAAACTTTGCAAGCATATGAACAATCAGACTTTATATGACATGTTATTAGGCAGGTAAATGCCTTGAAATTGAGTTTTTTCTTTTAAAAAATTAATTATCAGCCTGCCTTATCCCTGGTTAGAACAAAACTAACATTGACAATGATGAATTAAATGGAAATATAAATAGAGGGGGCTGCAAATTTTGGGGAGAACAACTTAAAGAAGATAAAAGATTTGACATAAATAATGTGGAGAAATATTTTCTTGTGTATTCATAATGAAATGTACAATGAATTTATAGCAAAAACAAAAAACTAATATAGGAAGTAAATTGTTACATTCCTATTATAATTCTATTTCCTATTCCTATTATAATTTTATTTCTTATATTACAATGAGAATAATTCTATTTCCTATATTACAAAGAGAATAATTCTATTTCCTATTTTACATTTCAACACTCCCCCTCAAGCTGGAGCATATAAGTCATATGCACCAAGCTTGTTACAAATAAAGTCAACACGAGAACCTTTGAGAGACTTAGTGAGGGGGTTGCGAACTGGTTTGGAATTGACATAACTAGTTGCAATACACCCTGATAGAACTTTTCTCAAACAAAAGTGACAATCAATTTCTATGTGTTTAGTCATATAATTCTATTTCCTATATTACAAAGAGAATAATTCTATTTCTATTTACATTTCAACACTCCTCTCAAGCTGGAGCATATAAGTCATATGCACCAAGCTGTTACAAATAAGTCAACAGGAGAAACTTTGAGAGACTTAGTGAGGATGTTTGCTAACTGTTCGTTGGAATTGACATAACTAGTTGCAATAACCCTGATAGAACTTTCTCTCGAACAAAGTGACAATCAATTTCTATGTGTTTAGGCTCTCATGAAACACTGGATTTGAAACAATATGAAGGGTAACCGATTATCACAGAGTAACTTCATTGTGATACTTCGACAAATCTCAACTCTTGATAGTTGTTTTAACCAACCAGCTCACAAGTGGCTAAGGCCATGCACAATACTCTGCTTCAGCACTTGACCTTGCAACAACTGCTTGTTTCTTACTTTTCCATGAAACTAGGTTTCCTCCAACAAGAGCACAAAATCCTGAGGTAGAAAGTCTATCAGATGGAGAACCTGCCAATCAGCATCTGAATATCCGACAATAGCGAATGGCCCTTATTTCATACAGTAAGCCTCTACCTGGTGCTCCCTTGATATACCTCAAAATCGCGACAACTGCATCCAATGACTATCACACGAGTTTGAAGGAACTGACTCACAACACTGACAGAAAAAGAAATATCCGGTGTGTGATAGTAAGATAGTTAAGTTTTCCAACAAGTCTTCAATACCTTTCAAGATCAGTAAAAGGCTCCCCCTGCCAGGTGAAAGTTAAATTAGGATCCATAGGAGAGTCTATTGGTCTGCATCTGACATCCCTGTTTCCTCTAGAATATCCAGTACATACTTCTCTGAGAAATAACAATACCAGATTTAGACTGAGCAACTTCTATGCCAAGAAAGTATTGAGTAGCCCTAAGTCTTTCGTCTGAAGTGTTTGAAAAAGTGTTGCTTCAACTGTCATGCCATCTTGATCACTTCCTGTAATAACAATTCATCGACATAGAAAACAGATAGATACACTGCCCTGATGATGTATGTCTATAGAAAATAGAGTGACAGACTCACATCGAATCATACCAAACTCTTGGATAACTGTGCTAACGTCCAAACCAAGCACGAGGAGACTGTTTTAGACCATATAGAGAACGACGAAGTTTACATACCAAACCAGACTCCCCCTGGCAACAAAACCAGGAGGTTGCTCCATAAATATCTTCCTGAAGTTCACCATTAAGAAAAGCATTATAATATCCAAGATGCATAGGCCAGTTCGAATGGCAGCCATAGCAAAGAACAACCGAACGGAAGACATCTTAGCAACAGGAGAAAAAGTGTCAAAATAACTATCCCATAGATCTGAGTGTATCCCTTGGCACCAAACGGGCTTTCAGCCGATTAACCTTACATCTGGACCACCTTAACAGTGTAAATCCATCGACAACCAACAGTCGAATGACCGGAGGTAAGGAAACTAACTCCAAGTATGATTATGTGCAAAGCAGACATTTCTTAAACATTGCCTGACGCCACCCGAGGTGAGAAAGTACCTCATGAACATTGCAAGGAACAGAACAGATGAGAAGGTGGAGACAAAGGCATAATATGAAGGATATAAACGATGATAACTCAAAAAATTGTAGATGGGATGAGGGTTGCGTGTAGACCGCATACCTTTACGAATAGCAATGGGAAACTGATCAGCTGGAGACAGGACCATGGCATTGGAGGAATCGGGCACAGGACCTGCAGTAACAGGATCTCAGGAATGGCAGCGGGAACATCAGGATCACCTGTAAAAGGAACAAGACTATTGTCGACAGGAAGAGTGGTATTTAGTAGTGACAGGTATCGAAACAGAAGAATGTGGGACAGACGTTGGAATTGGTTAGAACATCCACTACCGTATCAGACTCCACTGGAGGTGAGGAAAAAAAATGGAGAAAACTCAAAGAACGTAACATCAGCAGAGATGAAGTAGCGATGTGTGGCGGGAGAATAACACTTGTAGCCCTTCTGAGACGTGAATAACCTAAGAAATAACATTCGTGACTTGGCTGACAGTTATCCTGACCAAGAGGGAAAATGTGAACAAAACAGGTGCTCCCAAAGACACGCGGGGGAGAGAAAATAATGGAGTATCAGGGAATAATATGGAGTGTGGCAACCTGGTCTTGTAAGACAGAAGAAGGTATACGGTTTATTAAGTAACAGGCGGTTAGAACCGCGTCAGCCAAAACCGGAAAGGGACGTGGCTATGTAAAAGAAGAGTGCGAGCAGTTTCAATGAGATGTCTATTTACACTCAGCAATGCCATTCGTTGGGGACCATAAGCACAAGAAGACTGATGAAGAATTCCTGAGATGTCATGGATTTAGTAAAGGAAACAGAGAAATATTCACAGCATTATCACTTCGTAATATACGAATGGTAGTATTGTGTTGAGTCTTAATTTCAGCACAAAATGATAAAAATATGGAAAATAATTCAGAACGAGAGCGCATAAGAAATAACCAAGTGCAACGGGAATAGTCATCAATAAATGTAACAAATATTTGAATCCTAAGTAGAGTTAACACGACAAGGACCACCCATCTGAATGCACTAACATCAAAGGGGGACGCAACTCGTTTATTGACACGCTTTGGAAAGAACTACGAGTATGCTTTCCAAGCTGACACGACTACAACTCAAAGATGATAATGTAGATAGACCTGGGATCATTTTCGAAGTTTGGAAAGACTAGGATGGCCCAAACGATTATGAAGGAGATCTGGAGACTCGGAGACAATGCATGCTATAGATGGGATATGGAGATGATAGAGACCGTGACTCACGTCCTGTGCCAATCATCTGTCCCGTGTCGCGATCCTGTATACAACAGAGTCAGTATCAAACGAATAGAGCATTTAAGGAGCGGGAGTTTACTAACAGACAAGAGATTAATGGACATTGGGAATATAAAGCACAGAGTCTAATGCTAAGGGAGGGGAGGGGTTTTGCACATCCAATAGCTTGAACCGCTTTAGACCCATTGGCTAAAGTAACAGGAGGTAAAGATACATTATTTGTAATCTGAGTAAGTAAACAGAGGGTTACCAGAAATATGACTGAGGCACCTGTCTAGGACCAAGGTCTTAAAGCAGAAGATGAGAAAGGCAAGCAACTGAATTACCGTTTGAGCGACGGAGGCAATAGATGAAGAAGACTGCTTACTGGCCGATATTGTAAGTATTCATCATAATCAGTACCTGTGAGAGTTAAGGAGGGCTGAGCTGGCACTGTAGAGGACTCAGAATGAAGATCAGAGTGATCAGCCTGAGCAATATTAGCAGCTCGGGGAGGTCGACCGTGTAACTTAAAACATTTCTTCTGGTATGCCCCACCGATGACAGTAACTACATTGGGCCGATTTCTCTGCCACTTCGATCGCCTGTTCTCGAAAAGAGTGGGATGAGAAACAAGGACTGAAGAGTCACTTGGGGAATGCACAGGAGTAGGGGAGGAAACCCGAAATAATCTGGCAAACACTTCATCAAGGGAAGGCACGGTGGGATCCAGAAAGAATTTGATCTTGAACAAGTGTAAGATATGGACCGAGAACAGGGGTAAGATTTGGACCGAGAGCTACAAGTGTAGGATCATAAAGAACTTGTCGTTCAGCCAAATCTTCTGCCGCAGATTTACCAGCAGGTAACAGCAGATTAAATTTGTCTTAAGGGAGGCCATCTTACCAAGGAAGTCGGACATATTCATATTCTGTTGTTTAAGATGAATAAGTTGGACACAACAGATATAAACGCTGAGTGTCATTTGTATAGAGAAGTTTAGCCTGACTCCAAATATAACGCAAGAGCGATAAGATTTGTAAATAGGGTGAAGAGGGGGATCAATAGTTTGCCATAACATACTACACAGCATAGCATCATTTTAGTCCAGGAGACTTATCTGACGTAATATCGGCAGCTTTGGTGGTCAAGTGATCTCCAAACCTTGACCATACACATAATTCAACAGAGGCAGCCCAGATGAATAATTAGCAGTCCCAATTAATCGCTCAGTGGTGATGGGAGGGAGAGATAAAAAAGAAAACCACTGTAGGTGACTGAGAGGCTGATTTTGAGGAATCCATGAGAAGGTCAAAGTGTCTTGAAGCTAACAGAAAAGCAAAAACTTACGTGCACCCGGAAAAAAACAGAATACTAGCCAGAAAAACAGAACACTTGCAGAAAAACGAGCGGCACGTGAGGGCGCGGCAGCGCGGCCGGCGACGAAATCAATCGGGTTATGACGACGATGGGAAGGACGATCAGTCTGGTGTGATTAGACCAGATCTGATCGTTGCGGAGAACAGTTGTCGGAAAAAATTCCGAGAAGAGAGAAGAGAAAAAAAATTTGAAATTTCAGACACTTGGCTCTGATACCATGTGGAGAAATATTTTCTTGTGTATTCATAATGAAATGTACAATGAATTTAGAGCAAAAACAAAAAAAAACTACTAGGAAGTAAATTGTTACATTCCTATTATAATTCTATTTCCTATTCCTATTATGAATTCTTTTCCTATATTACAAAGAGAATAATTCTATTTCCTATTTACATTTCAACAATAAAATAGACATTGATAGGAAGTAATAATGACACAAGAGGTATCAATCAACCTCAAACAAAGATAAATTGATTGCTGGGCAAAAACAAGCTTCACACAATTAGCCATTCAAAAACAACTAAATAGATATTCAAAAACTAACAATTATAAGTGGCAAAGCTTACAGATCATTAGACTGGCCCACTGGAACAATTTCAGACAGGAATTCCTGAGCAGCTCCACCAGATTGAAATCTAAACCGTCCTTCTGGGCATTAGAATTGCCGATAACAAAAGAGCAATTACAAATAGGAAACTTTGTAAATGCAGCCTGTGAGAAGTGACAGCTCACATGGTTTGGTCAATCAAACCCCTTAAATTAAGAGTGCATCATATATCTACAAATGAATAGAATTAAGTTATAAGAGTGCATCATATATCTACTTATCTAGAAATGAATAGAAAATTACTACCCTCTGCCTGGCCAACGAGTCCCAGTTGATATCTTGAAGAAGATATGCTGCTTCACCGTATGATATAGATTTCTCTTCCATTATTTCAGTTTCTAAGAAAAGTAGCAAAGATGTTACAAGATAATGAACAAAGAAGCACAAAAACTTAACTAAGAACGCAATCACCTTGATGCTCCTCCAGCTCCAAGCTCTGATGATGTGGATCTTTGGTCAATAATCTGTTAATGACACATAAATAAAACATAAGAACTTCAGAAAGCTTTATCACATTCATAGAACCAGCAGTCATCTTAGCCAGTAAGCATTACACCCAAACATTAACTCTTATTCAAAGAGAAGGCACGTTGTACAAAGTTAGCAGAAGTATAAAACGAATTTGAGACTAGCATGTTATAGCAAGAAATATCAAATCTTAAAAAATCCCAATATACATTTTCATGAGCCGACATTTTTAACAGTCAATTGCATACTAACACACGATTAACTGAGAAATTTCTATAAGAAGAAAGAAGACTCTCATGTTTCCAATGTTAGCCTCATAGAATCTTTATTAGATAAATAATGACAAAAAAAAAAAAAAATAGGAGAGATATAGGCAAATAATAGGCCACTAAGCACAAAAGGTGCACAACCCAATATCATACAAAGGAATTAATAAAAACTTCGAAACAAGAGTTGATTATCAAACTTAGGCAGGTCACTTTGAAATTTCAATTTAGCATCAACGAAGGAACAAAATACTACCTGATAAATTTTCAATGATTGAGTTTTTCTGGACAAGGGCCACATTAAGGTCATTCATATCTAATATAATTATAAACAATAATTGATCAGATGATACAGCAGTCCTTATTACACATATGATACCCTGATGGTATGTATTTCAACACAAATGTCTGAAAGCAATACTTAGTAACCAATGATTTTCTTACTGATCAATAAGATCTTGTGCTTCAGCGCTCATTTCATTGGGTACGGTAGGCCAGGGTATTTTACGGTTCGGAATATTATCAAATATTTGCTGGAATCAAAACACACAATAAGAATTGGGACAAACTGAGAACTGAATCGATGGGAAAAAATGGAACTAAGATGTAAACTAATGTTTTAATCCTCTCAATAAATATACCCCGAGCACAATAAGTCCCTACCCATCAACTAAGGATTTTAAACATGTGGAATTCTTCGTCTAATAATACCTCAAAAATAAGGACAAATCAAAAAATAAATAAAGAAATATGTACCCCAAAAAAACATTAAAAAAAAATAAAACACTAAAAGGAATATGCTGAGAAAATATAAATACATCAACGAACCGGTAGAAAATAATTCAACACGACTTGAACTATAACAGTTGAGGAGCAATTAACCTGAGGATGCTCCGCATTGAAGGGTGGTATGCCGACAATTAGTTCAAATAGAATGACACCCACAGACCACCAATCCGCTGTTGTGCCTGAAATAATTTTATAACACAGAAACGCCTTAACATTATTTACAAGTAAGCATCACATGATGAAAAAAGCATCAGCTAATTAGATATATACTCAAAATGCAGTAGTCAGGTGCCACTATGGTCTTAAAATTGCAAGAAATTTCATTGTTCGCAGTAATGTACTAGCTAAATTGAAAATCATTTTAACCCATGATTAAATCATATGCAATATAACACCCAATGAGGATTAAACCATATGTGCGAGTAACAGTGCAAGAATATTTCTTGGCATCCTTGGCCAGTGAACGAAGAAAAGCTTCACAAGCCAGCACTGGTTCCTATTTACATCGTCTTGAAAAGGAAAGAAGTTGCAGAATTAAAAAAGGAAGTAAAACAAAAAAAGTATGGCAAAAATTCACAGAAGAATTTCCGCAAACATGTGATAGGCAGAAAGGAGAAGCGTGACAAAAGGATCATTGCTTTTAATATATTATTATATAAAGGACCACAAATCACAAAAATGGAAAAATGCTATTAAAGAAAGGAATTCATCAAACTAAAGTATAACAAATACACATTAAAAAATCATACCATCAAGACATCAACAGTCAAATAATAAAAAAAACAACATGATGCAGGAAGGCACATCAACAATCCAAATGAAAGAAACAAACACGAGGAAAAATCAGCAAATATGAAGAAAATCCCAACAAAAAAAACACTACGGTACTGTTCCGGTAACGTTACCAACCAGCCACCGTAAAAATGAAGTAAAAAAGCATACCTCCTCTACAGGTGCTCAACCCAAAAAGCAAGATAATCCTGCACAAATCACACCCCAAGCCAGTCTTGTCGGGACAATTAATTGTAATAACAATGGAGTCACCTGGCTTCTCGGCTTGACTTAATACTACAACATCTTCACACAATATTCCCATTTCTTGAACTCTGTTTTTTCACCTCATAAAAAGAAAAAGATACAAAACCTTATTGAAAACCCAGACGGGTATCTTGGCTTTCTCTTTCTTTTGTGGCGTTGATTCCTTCTTGTTGTTTAGTTGAATTGCAAGTTGGAAATTCCGTCGAAAGAAAAGTGAACAGAAACAAACATTTAAGTGAGAAAGAAAGGGTTTAGGGCAGAGAGGATGAAAAATGGGTCAATGAAAAATGGGTGGCAAACTTTTGCCAAATTTTGCCTTAGTCAAACTTTTGAGAGAGCCATCCCAAGCTTCGATTTAAGAAAATGGCCTTAAAACTGTTTTTTATTTTTTTTTTTAATTTAAAGAAGATGACGTGACATAATTAGAATTAATTAAACACGTAAAATAGGTTAAAATGAAAAGATTAAAACATATATGGGCTGAATCAGAAATAATAAAAGTTTTTAAAATTTGAAATTTCTCAAAACAAACCCCACTAACTATTCACCTCGCTTAATCGAAATTCATTAGGGCAAAAAGCGATTTCTTGAACCAAAGGGAGACAGTGCGATTTCCGATCGAACCCGCAAATTTCCACACTATATTCAATCTTAAACTCAATTTCTTGAACCCTAAACGGAATATAGTCGCGATTTCTGGCTATAAGTCACAATTTTCGATTGATTTCTTGAACCCTAAAATCGATTTCTTAAACCCTAAACGGAATCTGCGCGATTTTCGGCAATACAGCTCACATTTCTGATCCAAACTACAAATTTTCACACCAAATTCAATCCAAAACCATGGCTGACACTCACAATGACGAGGAAAACCCAATGCCACTTCGAATCCTAGATTTCGGTGGTGCAAGCAGTTCAATGGCTGCTCCGGTGGATCATCCGATCAGTGAAGGTGGTTGACAGGTAGAGGAGACGTCGACAGCACAAGAACAGAGGGAAGAATCGGCAAACGGTTCTAAAGATGAGGAGTCAGGCGAGAATTCAGGCCAGAAGGAGGATTCCGGCGAGAATTCAGGGCAGAAGGAGGAGTCCGGCGAGAATTCAGGCCAGGAGGAGTCTTTTGAGGATTTAGGCGATGAGGAGGAGGCCGGCGAGAATGAGCAGGCCATCGAAGAAAGGGTATGTTCTAAACTATCGCTTAAGTGATTAACCTCTTCACTCCATCTGCCCAGATCTAAGATATCGCTTAAGCGATAGATTAAGTTGACTCTTGGTCACTTAAGCGATTTCAGATCGCTTAAGCGATCTTTTCGAGGCAGAATCATAGATATAAGATCGCTTAAGCGACCGTTTGTGTCGCTTAAGAGATTCTTTCAGTTTACTCTTGGTCGCTTAAGCGATTTCAAATCGCTTAAGCGATCTTGCACGAGGTAGAGTCAAGATCTCTTAAGCGATCTGAAATCGCTTAAGCGACCACAGTGGTAATTTTTTGTTGTTGATATTTTGTTTATTAGTTGTTTTGGTTTATTTTTGTTGCTGACATTTTGTTTATATCGATTGTTTAGATTTTGCTGACCTTAAATTATACAGACTACGAGTTGGACCTTATAAGCGATAAGGTGCCCTACTTCCTTGCAAGGGTGACGGTCAGGTCAAGTTGGAAATTTTTTGACAGAATACAGGACATTTTAGATGGAATTACACATAGTAAAAGAGATTTCAGTCGCACTTGTTTCGGTCAGTTTTTAGAACTCGGAAATCATTGGAAAAAGGCATTTTGGGGGCAAGGAGTGCATTACATGTTGCTGCACTTAGTAAGATGCAATAAAAAGAAATAGGGTTTGTGGTGGGCGGAAAGCCACTACATTTTGGCATGATGGAATATGCCCTGGTGACAGGCTTAGGATGTGGAGAAGTGCCAATTAAGAAGGCAGAGGTAGTAAAGCATAGTCGGGGAGCCAAACAGTTTTATAATAAGGTTTTACAGGGGGGATAAGTCTATTACAGCACAGGTATTAGAGAATAAGCTAGAAACAGTTGAATTTACTGATATAGAGAAGATAAAAGTGTGCTTGGTTTTGTTTTTACATTTGATCTTATTGGCTAGTGACTCAACAAAAGCTGTTGAGAAAGATTGGTTGTTGTTTGCAAGCAACTTGAAGTTCTTTAATTATTATCCATGGGGACTAAAATCATATGAGCGAACCATCAACAACCTGAAAAAAGTAGACATGACGTTAAAGCAGTCCCAATGGGAGGGGAGGGATAAACCAAGCACGTACAATTTGTTTGGCTTCCCATGGGCAATGCAGGTAAATATTAATAGCTTTTTTTAATATTTTTTGTAACATATGTGTTTGAATTATGATATGGACTGTTTTTTTTTTTTTTTTTTTTTTACAATGTAGGCTTGGATGTACGAGGTCATCCCTGTCTTCGCTGGGGGGGAGCAACAGTTTGGATGTGCAACAGCAATTTCCTAGGATGTTGCGGTGGCATGTCCAAAGGTATACCCATTCGGATTACGAGCAAATAGATGTTGAGATTCAAGCGGCTGGGGTAAGATTAAAGGACTAAGCTTTTGAATATGCAGTTACTTTAAAATGTCGCTTCAATCTGATTGATTTTGTTTCTTATTGCCGGGAGTCATCCGTCCCTTTCTTACCGCTATTGGGGCTGAAGCGGAAGAGGACTATGTCAAATCTTTCAAAACACTAGAGGATGCAAGCAATGAACATATAGACCGCCTGATGCAGGACTTAAAAGGGGTCACGCATGGGATGGCAGTTGCGGGGCCATTGCTTCACAACGTGGTTGATGCCGAGGAGGATGAAGCTCTAATCGGCTAGAGGTCCGAGGAGGAGGATGAGAAGAGGGAGGAAAAGGTTTGTATGCCTCAGCAAACCGGTACAACAAGTATCGCTTTGCCAAGACATCAGTGTTGGGAGAATAAGGTTGTTGACCTCATAAACGGCCTGTTTGAGAGTTTTACAACAGCCGTTTATGCAAGGTTTGACAAGATGGAAGAGTACATGAAAATGGTGGAGGAGACAGTGGATAAGCTGGGAGAGAAAGTTGGTACAGTGGAGGAGGAAGTTGGTACAATGGAGGAGGAAGTTGGTGGAGAATAAAAGGCGGTTGAAGTGCAAACTTGCTTGAAAAGAGAGAGCCGGAAGAGCAAGTTTGTGAAATTGCCTTACATGGTAGTGACACA